CTGCACTTAAAGGAGGCTGAGACTCTGAGGAGAGAAGCAGCCCCTGCTGTTGTAATTCGGTGCTGGGAGGACTGCAACAGGTGGGAGGGACCCAAGCCGGAGCTGGATGGGAACAGCTGTGGCCCATGGAGGGGACTTGATGTGGAAAAGGTTTATGGAGGAGTGTCTGCAGTGAGAGGGGAGCCCCGTGGAGCAGGGCAGGGATGTGCGGCGTTCACCCCACCTCCCGAGAAGGCAGGAGCAGTGAGCTGGCTGTAACCCCCATCCCCTGCCCCCTGCGCTGCTGGGGGAGGAGGGAGAGAGACGGGGAGCAGAGCTGGGCCCGGGGAGAAGGGAGGGGTGGGGAGGTGTTTCGGGATGTGGTGGTGCTTCTCACTATCTCACCTTGTCTGTTACATGGGGTTTTTTGTTAGCATTTGAATTAAAGTGATGCTCTATTTTTATCTTGCCCTAATGAGTTTTGTCTATGACTGTAATGGGTGAGCACCCCTGAGCCATTTTGCTTCTTTTTTTCCTTCCCATTCCTGAGAGGTGAAGGAGTGAGTGAACAGCTACACGGAGCTCAGATGCCCTCTGGGCTCAAGCAAGGACATCATCTTACCTTCCTTTCCTGGAATGGTAACACACATAAACAGACAAGCCCAGATACTTTATGTGAGTGCTCATCACCTTGCTGCAAATGATACATGACTAGATGTTGCTACACAGTTTTGTATAATGCTTCCATTTTCTAATTTTGTTACTTAAAATGTTTCATATTGTGAACGTGCAACTGAAAGACATTTAAAACTTTGCAGTAAGGACTGTTTGTTAGAACTGTGTTTGTACTGCGGAACACTCGCTGTGTTTAGGATCTGATTATATAAATACTCCTCTGTTGAAGAAGAACATGCTAGAATTGGGTTTTATTATTAATATTAGGTGGCCATTTTTTTTCTAGTTTTTAAATATTGGGTTCACTGTGACACAAGATTTCTGGATCAGATCTGTATTAATCAGATTTTAAACCTGTTATATGAAAATTTTGATTTTGGTCTTCTGCCTGACTCTTTGGTTCAGACTGATTGTATATTGGGCACGCTGCGTTTTTAGTACAAGGTCAAGCATGACACAAAAATGTGTAATAGTAAGGAATTAAGTATGCTTCCATATTTTTCTTTACTATTTCCTTAATTAACAGAGTGTGTAATATACTCATGTAAGTGTCTTGTATTCTACTTCTAGAACAAATGAAAGTCAGCACATTTCAAGTGCCTGCCAAAACACATTTTTAACTTTTGGTCTTGAACTTCATCCCATCGTCCAACCTTGTGCAGTAAATAATTTAATTTTAAATTCATTATACATTTTTCATACTAAAATAAATTCTCAGACTTGTGTTTAAATATGGGTGGTTAGTATTTAGTGGGAGTTAAATGTTTCTGGTTTTATTTCTTATACCTTAGTATTTCCCACATTTTTTATTTCACTGTATTTATTAAATGCTTTCATATACTGATGTAGACATCCCCAGAATATGGAATGAGCTATCTCTTCAGTTATCTCAGTGTGTAGTCTGATGTACACCAGACAGAACCTTAAATTATGTATAGTATTTGGAATAGTCAATTTGGATGAAAGTGTTAAATGTGTTTTTCTTCTCTCTTCATCAGACTACCCCGAGGTACCTCATTCATTCAGAAACAGTCATTCGTAGCTTGTTATTAAATTTAATCTGTTTTCTAAATTCCACAAGTTACCCTTTGCTTATATCATGGTTCATTGAAAGGACTTTTAAAAACATGTGTGAGCATCTGCAGCAAAAATCTTGGCCTACTTCTCCAAGTTTGCTTAACAAAAGAGAACCGTTCATATGGATATATCTTCACCCACCATATTAATTTCCAATGCAAATGTCACCATAACCTCCTATAGCAGTTTTCCAAAGCAGACATGTTCTCCTCAGCTTACGTAGTTTCAGAAGTTGTTTCTGTTACATATCAATCCCTTTAATGCTCTCACCCTCTTTTGTGCTCTATATACTTCTGAAGATCCAGGTACAGTTTGAGTTCAGAAGATCAAATAACATGTTTTACAACCAAAAAATGCTATATTTCTTTACAAGTTTGTCATTCTGGCAATCTTCTCTCTTTCCTCTTGTTCTTCATGACACGCCATGACTATGCTTATGCTAGGATTTCTTCATCAGTAATGGAATACATATGGTTTTATCAGTGTAGTTTAATTACTTCCCACACAAGCAAAACAACCTGTGTTAGTAGAAGCATTGCTTTACTGGTACAAACTCTGTGTATACCAGGAGAACCAGCTGGTATAGTTTGGCTGTGCATGGCAGAAACCTCTTCACAAACCAAATTCACATGCCAGCAGGCTTGCAAATTAATTCTTTTAAACTAATCCTTGCACGCTAAGAACATCCTGTTGACTGTTGACTTTGCTGGAACTGCTTGAATGCTTGTGACATGTAAACCAAAGTACATTAAAAGAGAGGGGCTCTTGATTTGAATTCAGTGTGAGGTTTGCCACTGATCTCAGTAAGGTAAGGACATCACTTCACCTGTTTGCTGGGTCAAAGCTTTGCTTTTCATGAAGTGGAAATGGCATTATACCTTCTTTTACGAGACCATTAAGAGATACAAATCAAATCCATTTCCCATTACTACTTTAATTTCCCCACTGGCTATCACAGCTTTTCCTGTGGTTACTAAAATTGATGTGGTTTATTGTAACGAGAGGAAATAGAAGGATCATATTTGAAGCAACACAAACAGAAACCTGTTAAGGACTGATATGGATAAATTGATACTCTTCTGCTACTTACTGTGTTTCTCTTTTGATACGCATGGTATACAATGTATTGCAAAGAAGCTCAGAATAGCTGTGCAGTGGGAAGGCTTTAGCCATAAGTCACTCAAAGGAATTGAAAGGTCTTTTCAGATCATTAACATAGCCTTAAATGTGTATTCTCAAGGTGGCCTGGGGATGCTTTATTGACTCTATACACTTTGTTTTCACGTTGCCTTGGGTTGACCTCTTGTTTTCCTAGATACTTTAACCATTATATTTTAGGGTTGTGTATGTTGCCTTGGGACTTGTATATGATCCCTTTGGCCAGAGCTTCATTGGCATTACATGTGTCAGAACTGTGCAGCACAGCGAGTCCTGAAGTCCTGAGATGTTTTTGACAACTTCTGATTGAGCAAACCCTTTAGCTTCTAGCTACTACTGCTGCTTATGTCTGATACAGGTGAAATTGCTTAATATGTAGGTTATAAATTACTATTTTGAAAACTATTTTAATAATGAAGCTTGAGAGTGCAGGCAGTTTTGGTCCTATGGTCCCAGTGATCGTACATAGGCTCGTCAGAGTTGGCTCCGTGGTGGCTCTGCCTTTCCTGCACAGGCTGGGGGAATAACCGAGGGACACAGGGTATGTGCTGCCACCCTGCCTGCGAAGCCTCGCTTCTACAGCACAGATCAAGGTTAATAAAAGGACAAATAATTTCAAGGGTGAGGTAGAGAAAGGAGATTGCAATGCTGTCAAGACTATGGTGGGAGCCTAGAAAAACACCTTTGCTGTTAGACACTGGAACTGGGGTCGATTACTTGGAGTTGAGCTAAAGGTTAATGCCACCATAGCAGTTTCAGAGCTTCTGTCAGGTTTTTAAAGATGAAACTCTTACATATTTTTCTACTATTTTTTTCAGTTGTTGATTATTAGTGTTTTTTTCCCAGTACTTGTTGCTTTCTAGTAATTTTTTCAAATGATGAAAATGAGTTACTTTGCAGGCATATATACATACATGATGTCAAATATATGAAAAAAATCCTACTGTCAGGGCTTCGAGCCACTTTTGTAAAAAATCTGGCGCATAATTTCAGTTCCTACGATAATTTAGATCTTGCAGATGAAACTGCCGTTTAAAGAAAATCCAGAATCGAATGCAGGCTTTAAAAACACTTGCCAGTACCCTGATTATATTTAAACATAACTTTGTGTATTTTGTTTTTCACCTAATTGATTTCAAAACAATTTGACTTGCATTGGAAATGAGAATTCGAAGTTGCAAAAGGTTATTTGTGACATTTAGTTCCCAGGTTGCAACAATTCCGTCGTGTTTCTTTCAAAGACTCGCTCACGGAACGGCTGCACGTACATGAAGCGCATTTCTACTCGCGTGCTTGCGCATGGGAGCTATTCCTGCCGATTCGGTGAACACGCCGGTTTTTGTTGCTGTCGTTCGCTTAAATGGCGGCTCCCGGCCCTTTCGCTCGCCTCAGGCCCCGCCGGCGCCGCGCTTTAACCCCGCTGCCGGTGCGGCGGGGGCCCTGCGCTTCGCCGGGGCCCTGCGCTTCGCCGGGGCCGGGGCCGCGCCAGAGGGCGGGGGCCGGGTTTCGGGGCCGGGTTTCGGGGCCTCAGCGCCGGTACCTGTAGGGGCTGGGCTGCGCCGCTGCGCGGTTAATTACGGCGGCGCCGGGAACTCCTGCGGGCGGGGCGGGGGGGCGGGGCGCGCGCGCTGGGGATTCCCCCGCCGCTCCGCGCGGAACGTTCGGGATGGTTCCGTGACGTCACGGCAGAGGGACTCCCGCCGGCGGGGGCGGGGGGCGGGGTCTTCCCGACGGCCGTGCCCGGGAAGCCCCGCCCCCGAGCTCCCGCGGGGGTGTCGCGCGGCGGCTCTCGCGAGGCTGGGGCGCGCAGGGCATTGCGGCTCGGAGAGGCGCCATTTTGGGAGCGAGGCGAGGGGGGTGTGTGTGCGTGCGTGCGCGCGCGGGGGGTGTGCGCGTGCGGCGCTCTCGCGCCCGTGGCCCTCGCGGCTCGCGGGGGGGAGGAGAAGGAGGAGGAGGAGGAGGAGGAGAAGGAAGGGGAGGAGGAGGAGGAGGAGGAGGAAGGGGAAGGGGAAGGGGGGCGGCCGCCGCCGCCGTGCCCGGGGCACCTCACCCCCCGCCCCCCCGGGGTCGGTCCGGCGGCGGCGGGCGGGGGTCGCCGAGGCCGGGGCGGGCGCTGGCGTGCGGGGCGCCGCGCGCTCCCTCCCCCGCCACGCGGCCGGGCCCGCCCTCGAGGAGGGCATCGGGAGCCGCCCCCGCGTCCCCTCGGTGGGGCGGCGGCGGCGGCGCGGCCCCGGGCAGGCGGGCGGGGCGAGCGCCCAGCGCGGCCCGGCGGAACTCTCCCTTCCCGGCGGCGGCCGCCGCGCCGCGCCGCGCGGCTGGTGGTCGCGGGGGAGCTGCGGCTCTGCCCGCGCACCGGGCGGCCCCGGGGCGGCGAGGCTTCCCCCGGGGCGTGCTGGGGCTTCCCCCGGCGCCTCCCGCCGCGCCGCCGGCGCCTGACACGCTTCCGCTCGGTGTCCCTGGCCCAGGTCAGCGCCTCCCTCCCGGGCGGTTTCTGCAGACCCGTTCATATTTCCCAATAAAATGAGAAATGCCCTTTTATTTATTTTATTTTTTTTTTTCTTGAATGAGAGGCAGGAGGACGTTTTCGCTGATAGGCTGCGTTCTCCGGGATGTGGGCGAAGGTTTAACCGAGGCTCCTGCACTCGGGTTGGGCTCCCTGGCTGCATGTGTGCTTGCTTTTTAAGATTCATGTGTTTGTCTAACGCCGGTTCAGATTTCAGAAGGGAAAATTGATTGCTCTGGTTCTTTTTACTGTAGGCGGTTTGGATTACAGAAGGAGTCCTGGATGTTTGCAGCCTTTTGCTTTAGCTGGTAGGGAGGAAAAAAGGTGGAAACCGACCTGCCGCAGCTACTTCTTGTGAAAAGGGGGAAATATCGGGCAGTCTTCTGGGATTATCAGTCCAAGAGCTTCATCCTGAAGAGCCTTCTGAGAAGTGAATTGGAAGTTTGAAGTTGTCAGCTTTTTCTTTCTAGCAGCACTGAGCACCTTCACCCTTGGATGCTTTTGTCGACATGATATGGATACATGGCTAAATTTATCAAGTTCTGAATACTTCAGCTGCCAAAATGCTGTTTTGCTTTTAGGTACTTTTTTTTTCTAGGCAACATTCTGTCTTGAGTCATAGGCATAACCAGTTTTGTTAACTGGCTCCGGGTTAAATGCAGCCTGAGTCACTGTGTAGACATTGCTGAAAAGTTTCATGGCAGATTTTTTTCCCCTTATCTTATTTTTTAGATTTTATGACATAGCCTTCTGTCATTTTGCAGCGAGACCTGTTTTCTAAATGAAGAATCTAATAGATGTTTGTTTATTATTTTTTCTTTTATATTTTATTTAATATTTTTGTAGAAAAATGTTGTTGCCAATAAGCAATATGGATGTATCCAGATAGCTGTTGTTTACAAGTGCTTCTGTTACCCGAAGCTAGGAAATATTTCACAGTTCAGATGTGAAATTTGGATTTTTGGCTTCACAGTTTGTGGTGTAAGAAGTGTATTTATTTCGTCTGGAGCTGATGCTTCTTACAGTGACATGTACATGGAATAGACAAGAGAAGAAACAGAGATAAAATCTTTTTAAGACAGATTTGGCAAATTTTGGAAGTACCTTTGTGGAATCTGTAAGCAAGAAGGATGGGTAGCTGATTTCTGTGGGGTCAAATCTATGTCAGACAGCTACGAATGTAGTATCAACAAGAACTGGGGATATTACCTCAAGGAAAACAAACTGGAAAAATATAAATCACACAGCGCTAACACCTTGTGCGGTCCTCTTGGATTAGGTAAGTGATGTAGTGTTCATAAATCAGTATACACGTGAATAAACATCAGTAGAATGGTTAAACCGGTAATGTTTACTGCGTGGAGGTGGTTGTTTTTTTTTGAGAACGTTGAAATGACCTTGCAGAATCTAACTTTTACTTGCTGTTCTTAAAAATCAATGGAATAATTCCTTAACAGTTTGAAGAATACATGTACAAGGAGAAACGTGTAGGTAGGAGTGTGATTTTTTTTTTTTTTTTTTTTTTTGGGAGAGATTAAAAAATAGATACATCTAGACTGAATCTGTAGCTAGTTTAGCCTTCACGTTAATATTGTAATCTCAACAGTGAGGTATTATACTTATTGAACAAGTCTGCAGGATGGCCTTCATGCCTTAATCTTACCCTTTTAATTTCCTACCACTGTTCTTGGTCCCTTACGGAAGGGAGGTATTTTTTACCAAAAACTAATTTACTGCCTGTGCAAACTAGCTTTTTAAAGTGTTGATATTTTAAGGTTGAGTTCAGAGTAATTTCCTGTTCTGTAATGGGAATGAATGAGTCTGACAGGTCTGGAAGTATAACATTACCAAAAACCTCCACGTTTTTGGAAGGATTGAAAACAAAATCTAGTGGTGAACTAATTAATTTTACACATTAGTTTCAGATGTCTTGCTGTCCCCTTCCTCTGAAAGTGTAAATGTTTCTGAAGATAGGTATAGTTTAAATGTTGAAATTAATGTTTACAATAATTTTTTGTAGGTTTGCATTCAGCTGAATTGCTTCTGCCTCAAAGAAAATTAAGATGGACAGAACAACTTAATTCAAAAGTCAGTGGTAATTTTATTAAAGTTCTCTCCTCCCTAGCACACCTTGATTATTTATAAAGCTTTAAACAATTAAAGCATTATTGGGTACACTGTAAACTGAGTGTCTGGTAAAAGTGACGTATTTACTTCAGTCACCACCTTTTAAAAAACTGTTCAGAGCTTTTGCAGTACTGAAGTATTAGTAGTAGTGAGCTAATAAAAAGGAAAAGGTTTTCTCCCAAGGCAATGTAAAGATGTTTGAGGAGATAGCTTGTATTAAAGCCTTGTGGAGAAAGTAAAGCATGTGAAACTGTATCTAAAGATTACTTACAGTGTTTTTTTCCCTCTGTAACTTGATATTTGACCACAAATGAAAGACTTGGCATCTAATTTATTGAAACTCTCAGGCTCACTGAAGTAGTTCGATTCTGTGTGTTGTCAATATCTAAAGGTTGATCTGGCTTCACTATTTTGCTTGCTTTGGATAGCCTTGCTGTTTTGTTATTTTAACTTATATCTCAGTTTTGTTGTTTTGAAAACGTGGAAACTCTGAAGCCTAAATAGAATGCTGTTTCTGTAATCTCTTGTGGCTGTGGTTTGTGGCTCTTCTAGTCTGGGTTTGGCTGGAGATTGACTGAATGAACTGAGCCATGTGTGAAGGGACCAGACCAACAGAGAAGAATGATCTTCCTCATTCCTTTAGTTGGATTAATCTGTGTTTTGTTTGAAAGCGTTTGGTAAATGGAAGGAGTTCAGGCATGAGTGGCCATTTCATTTGATTTTTGTCTATTGTATGGTCATAAGCAATAGTAATACAAGTACTTGCTTCTTAACTCTGAGAAAGTGTTATGTCTCTTTTTTTTTCAAGCTATTAAGTTCTGGTGATGTGAGATATTTCTACCTCTTGACAAGAGGCTGTCACTGAAATCAAGGAGCTGCATCACCCACTAATTATTTTGGGTGACATCCTTATTTGGACTCTTTCCTTTCCAGATGTTTTGAAGAGTTTGCTTTTTAGCTTTAAATTAGCTATGTCTTTATATCTCTGTTTGCTGGTAGGTTTTTCTTTTCACTGTGTTTGCACTTGGGAAGTGCAGTTGTTCTTATTAGTATGCATATGTATTTGATAAGGATTCAGGCATGTTTTACAGCTGTGCCCTTGTACCCTAAGCAAAATTCGTACTTGGGTGAGGCCAGTTGAGGAGAAGGTGCCTAGAATGCTGGTCCACTTTAATTCCTTCTTCAGGTTTTTATTTGCGTAATGCTGACAGTCTGTTAGGTAGTTTGCAGACAGCTATGAAGATAAGGTCCTTGCCCCGAAGAGCTTGTATTTTAAGCCTTGGTGTAAACATAACTTTTTTACTGGAATAACTGTCAGCAGCTTGGCTCTTTTACTGAGGCATCTATTCTGGTAGAATCCTAAAATTGTGTATATTTGTACTGAGAAATTGGCTTGAATGGTATAGGCTTTTCTGCTCTGAAAAAAACTGTTGGTGGACGCTTTTAAGAGTAAGCAGAGTTTAAACTTGCAGCAAATTTTTAAGTGGAATTACATCTGTAAAATGATGTAGAGAAATTGTGTAGATATTTAGCTTTGTTAGTACTCTACAAGTTAATGTACTTTACAGTCCCTGTTTTTTTTTTTTTTGTTTTTTTTTTTTTTTTTTTTTTTTTACTTTAATGAGATTCTTCTGTATAAAATATGTGGATAAAACAGTGACACAGTGATAGTTTATCAGCAACTTCTGAGAAGTTGCTTTTACTTATTTTTTAGTATGAGGAATAAATTCTGCCCTGCAAGGAGAACTATTTGCAGACCTTATTATGAGCAAACGTGAATGAGACTTGACAAGCTTTTTGTTTTGGTTTTTGTTACTGTGTGTATTTGAGCAGTAGTAACTGATGATGGTGCCCTATGTGGTGCTATCAACTGTTCCACAAGCAACTTTTATATTTTGGGTAAACATAGCCAGGCAAACAAATGAAATACACAAAGTTGTTTTTCTGCTTTATATGCTCAGGGTATGTTGAAACTGCTACTTTTTTCAACTGCTTTTTCTTCAGATCCTTGAGAAGACTCCAAAGTGCAAAAGAATTCCTGATGATTTTGTTACATAATGTATGCTGAACAGGATGGTGATGTTAGGGCACTAACACTTCAGCTTTTGGACTTTGAACCTTGCAAAAGGCAAGAGATTAGCGTTTATCTAGATTTCTGCTAAAGGGTACTGCAAGCATGTAGGGTTTTGAGCAGAAGTAACGTGGTTGTAGTTTACCTTCAAATATGAAGTTATTCCATGTTACATAATGGCTTGCTTTGTAAAATTTGCATTTTGGTACAGTGCAAGAAGGAAGAACTTTTTCTAATAAAAGTGATGATGAATTATTCAAAGATCCCATTAACTTTGGCTGTTTTAAAACATTTCCTAAAAGATGGGTTTTTTGATTGTTGTGACGATAATACTTGATTCTCAGGGGTGATGTAAACCCTGTTGTGAACCATATCCATGTATAGGAAGGGGACCATATGATAAACAGCAGTGGTTGGGATTTCTAAAACTGCAGTGTACACCCAAGCCTGCTGAGGTTCTAGATCCTCATGCAGAACAAAGCGTGCTTTAGTTGATTCATCCTCACATAATGAACTTCAGCCCTAAATAGAAATGAAGGTGGGTTTTCCTTAGGTCTTTCTGCTAAGGAGCTGTAAAGCTAGGTTTTAGGGCTGTGGCTGTATTAGAGAATGTGTTTGCTTTCAGTGATTAAAAAATTGATCATTACAGTTTGACTCCATACGCTTCTCATACTTAGGCATGTCATAAGTTTCCTGAAAGTGTTCAGATTTGACAGGATCATGCTCCTTCCTCAGTGTTCTGCAGGAAGCCTTAGTTGTCATGCTTCTTTTAAAAAGATGAGGCAAGAAGGTAAGTTAAAAAAATGTATGGGTATCTTCTTTCATTCTTCTTTAGAATACCCATCAGAACAGTTCTGTATTGGATGGTGGGGACAGCGAGACTAAAACTGGAGATTTTACTTGCTCTGCAGTAGCACAGTCGAGAAAGAAGAGGCTTCGGCTGAATTGTTCAGGACTTTTTAATGTCTGTTGAACCAGTGGGAGAGAAGACCTTTAAAGTTTCAGCTCCCTTTCATTTTATTGGAGGTGATAGGCTTTGACAGTAAGGTTAAGAGAACCAAAGAACTTGAGAGAATTATCATATCCAAACTTAATCTTGTTTGTAAATTATGTATTTGTAAACTAACTTCTACACTGATAGGTAGCAGGGAGCAACATACACGTTTTCTCTTCAAAGTGTTAAAAGGTTGATTATGAAGAGTTAAGCTTATTCTTTTGTTGTGGATGTGCATTTACATGGAGAAAAAATAAAGGAAAAATATAAATAATCTTTAGTTCAAGTAGTTGTAATGCTTTTGCAGCAATCTATGATCAGTAGAAATGCTTCCATTTTCAAAAACTCTGTAAAGCTTATGTTAGGGTTTGAATATTATTTTCTGGTTTATTAATGTGCAGATTTTGGATAGCAGAATACCTTGAAATTAGCGTATTTTGCATTGTTCAAACTAAATGAGTCACAGAGTAAGGAAGATCTCTAATAAGCTGTGTCTTTAAAAGGGGAGTGAAAGTTGAGATGTGTAGGGTTTAAACGTATTTAAATGCCACTACTTACCAACTTCAAATTAGCACTACTTGGACTAGAGATAACAGGGAAGGATCTGTTATCACAAGAAATTTTTTGTTTAAAAGAAAATGTGTTTTCGGGCGGTAGGAAAAACTTTTATTGGAGTGGGTTGTTTTAAAGACCTGATGAGTTTGAGAAAAAATCTGGAATGCTTTCGTTTATGAAGAAGAGGGTCCGCATAGTCAGATGGTTAGGACTTGTGCATATAGTTTCTTTGCCTAATTCAGAGTAAAACTTTGTAGGTTTTCTATGGCTGGTGCTAAGTTGGTGAAATAAACACTTGAAACTGGCTGGAGATGAGAGAACTGAAGGGTCAATTTATTCTGTAGCTTGGTTATTCCAGAATTTCTCTGTTTTAGTGAGGACTTTGCTGCTGCTGCTGCTTCTTCAGGAATTAAAAAAAAAAAAAAAAAAGTACAGTACAGTTTGTGTTTGGTATGTCTCTGATAGTAAATATTCAGTTTTAATTCCCTCCTAGAAAATTGTGACTTCTTTCCCTTCTTGTTATATGGTCATGCTATTCTAAGATGTCATAAAGTCTGGCTTCTTGGAGCCCTCTGAAATTGATATATAAGCTTCATTTGCCTTCAACGATTTGGTGTATTTGCTGTAGCTCATTACCAAGGAAGCAAAGCAGCAACAGTAGCAACAAACTTGAGACACTGAATAATATATAACCTTTTCATTTTTTCTGCTGTCATAATGCTATAACGTATTTTAATTCTGATGGCTTACAAGCTTCTTTTTACCCCATTTATAAATCTTAAACTAAAAATTATGGTGACATGATGAGATAGATTGTCAAACAAGTGTGTAGCTGAGAGATGAAGGTAAGGTTCCCACATGCAGTTTGTGATGTGCTGTACTTAATGATAGTCTGTGAGGCATTAGGTAAAAGATCATAGGTATGTGCCACTTAGATATGGATTCGTGATAGTTTTAGACTTTCTTGAAAACTGTGAATATATCCACATGCTTTTAACATGTATTCTGTTTGTGGGTTTCTCTGTGCAAATCAACAGACTGTATTTCTAAACTGGTCTTTAGTGAGCTTCAAGAAATTTGAATTCGTATCTCCCTTCTAACTTTGTGAATTCATGGCTCCGAGCTTCCTTTTTTTTTTCCCCTGTTGATAACTGCTGCTTCACTCACAAGCTTTGAGTATTCCTAATTTATAGTTTATAATATAGTTTATATTGTCTTTTATTTTGTCTTCTGACAATCTCTGAAATACCCAGTGTCACAGAAACTGCATCCTGTAAAATAATAAAGGCTGTCCACAGAGCATGAGAAGTATAGAAGCTGAAAACACAAAACTGTTTTTTT